TGTGTTCTGTAACTGATGCAGTTTTTTTAGGGCAGATGCATTTGAGTCTAAATACATTGGATTTCGTTTATTCAATCAGGAGTTAATGAAGGCCTATGTGATATAGGCCAACTTGTAATTGCAAATGATGGGATGTAGCCGTACCAGATTAAGGTGGGAGAATGCATTTCTTGCAAATAGTTTTGTGAAAGTCCAGCATCAGAGCATGGGATTTTTTTGCAGCTATGTTAGGTTGTTGGTTCCAGATTTTTGTTGAATGCTTCTTAATCACAGCCACTTGCGCTGAGTCACAGCAAGAGGGGCGGGCCTTTCAGCCATTTAAACCCCTTGAATTTCATTGGTATTTTGAACACAGGAAGCTCAGAATTCCTGCAGCTTTGAGACATTTGTCAGACATCAGCATTGTCTGAAAATTTTGTCTCTTCACACCTGTGTGTTTTAGAATGATTGATAGCAGAGAGAGAGAGTGTGTGTGTTTTGGTATAACAGTTGGATATTTTGGACCTGGAAGTTATGAGAGGAAAGGAAAATAACTAGAAGCAGCAACGGTTTTATTTATGTTCTTTGGGTGACTTGTTTAAATAGCTGAAAATACAGACCTGCTCTGCCAACAAGGTTTTAATTTGATTTCCATCCAGACCCTCCCTTTTCATGAATGTTGTTTCTGTGCACTGATGCCCATCTGCTAGTAGTAAGTAGATGAATAAATGATGGCTTGCTTCCAAGAGAGTCCCACCAGAGCCATGCCATCTGTTACCCAGCAATGCAGGAGCTTGGGTGGAAGGAGTTAGTTTCTTAGAAATAACTTTTAAAGTCCCAGGTAGGACATCGTTGTATGGAGTATTTTAACTTTTCTTAACTTATTTGGAAAAAAGATGCTTAGAAAATTTTCTATCCCGAACCCCCAGGTATTACTGAGTAATAATACTTTGCATCTAATGCCATCTTGCTAACAAGAGCAACTTCATATATTTGAATCAGCCACACTGAGAGATGGGTGGTCTGAGAACAGGAGCTGGAACTGGAAACTTCTCCTGTGTTCTGATACTGGCAGTGAAATTGACTCCCCTCTGTGGCTTTGGGCAAGTCACTTAACTTCACTGACTCCGTTTTTGTGGGCTGGATTCTATCCTGTGTGAAGATCTGCTATGAGCAGGCAACAGAGAACTGGTTGCAGCTCCCTGGTTCCATATCCTGAGCCAGCTAAGTACTGCTGTGATCTGTGCCAGCTGGGAGACGTCCCAAAAGGATTGTCTGCCCTCTGAGGATTGCCAAGAGTGCAGTTTGTGTTCCTAATCACTGTAAGTGCTTAGAAACCAAGGCCCAACTTTCCAGAGTCTTCAAGGGACTCTGATGGGTGGTATACCACATCACACTACTCTCAGTTTATTGACTTAATCGACTGTTTTATAACTAATGTTTTGTTGTAGGAAATGAAGAAGGAAAAAAAACCCTTCTTCGCTTCCAGTCTGATGAAAAAAATCACGAAAAATCCATCAGCTGGAAGAAGAATTAAAAACAGCCAAACACTTTCTAAAGGAGACCCAGAATTATGCTGAAGAGATGAAAAGTGAGTTACACGTTTCTACCTATTTAAATCCGGTTACAAACTATTACTTCAGTGTGGAGGAGACTGTAAACCTCATTAGAAATGGTGATTTGAAGCATATCCAAGAAAAAAAGTTCCCACTGTGTGATATAGTTAAATTAACTTTCAGCTAATACACGCAATTCTCTTTCCAAACTGAGATGGAACTTCTTTATACAAATATACTAACTCATAAAATTATATGGTTTTAAAGCAATTTAAAATGAGGAATAAATACTTCCCGTTCAAAACTATATGGTCAGCAAATTAAATACTACAATGTGCTCCTGTGTTTTAAAATCCCAAGCAAACAAATATACCTCAAACTATTATCCTTTAGCTTGTATATGGACTCCATCAAGCTAAAACGTGATGAAATGTTACCCGCCGAGCCCTAATTTGACTTTTCCTTACATTTGTCTATCTGGTTGGGAAAATGCATTTTGTAGACTGAGGTTTAAGAGAACAGGTAATTCTGCTAAATAGCCATTGTAAAGAAGGAGACTGCTCCCACTTATCGCTGTAGAAGTCTAACCTCACTTAATGAGAATTCAAAATTAAATTTATGAACCTAGTCCTGCTCCCATTTTAATCAGTATTTCTGCACTCTCCAATCCATGAGGCCATCCAAATAACTGCTTTGCGTTTTGATCTTATTCTTGGCAAGTGGCAGCACTTTCGGCTAGCTAATGAAATGTAATGCCTTCTAAGTCCATTTTCTTGCTTTCGCTATACGTAATTATATTCTGAAATACTAAGAAAATGTATTGCTAGGTGAAAAATTGAAAATTGTCAATATTGCCATTTTATAGTGTTACCCATAAAAGCTAATATTGCATATTTGACATAGTTTGCTTTCACAAATTAACCACTTAATTTTTTTTATCACTATAGATAAGAGTTTGTCTCAGGAAATAGAATTGGAAGCTCAACAAGCAGAGATTCGGGATTTAAAAAGCAATAATAAATTGCTCCAGGATTCAGTCCAGGAGCTACAACTTGAAAATGGAACCCTTAAGGACATTAACAAGGCTTTAGAACAAGAAAAAGTAGACTTACTAGAAACAAACATAATTTTTTCATATAGTTTAAAGGAGAGAGAGGAAAGCATTTCTGAATTGTCCAGAAGACATAAGGAGGAAAGACTGTCACTCATGGAAAGATATGAAGAAATTGAAAAGGAACTTGTAGATCTACAAGGAAAATACAAATCAAAGGAAGAAAAAAATGCCAACACTGAAGGCATTTTAAGACAACAAAAAAGTCACTTTCAAAAGAGTAAAGCGGAATCAGAACTACAAGAGAAACAGCATAGGGATGAGCGTAATGAATTCTTCTCTAAACTAGTGTCCTTAGAGGGGAAAAAACAAAGATTTGATTCAGGAACTTGAGAAAGTGCAGTCAGAGTTGCAATTTAAACAAGCTGAGATTGCTAATATCCAAAATGTATCTTCAGCTGAGTTGGATTGTTTAAGACAGGAAATGTTAAATGTCAGGGCAGAGCAAAACAAAATGCAAGAACAACATAACGTCTTGCTTCAAGAGAATGTGCAATTGAGCAAGGTAATAAAAACAAAGAATGAATCACTAGCATGTTACCTGGTTCATGACAGAATGCCTACGTCAGAACAGTTGAGAGAGTCCATGGAAGAGAATGAGTTGAATAAATAATATCAAGCTAAACTTGAGCTACTTCAGATGGATTTTGAGGACAGAGAAGTGTCTGTAGAAAACTACAGCACACAGGTAATACAGTTGGAGGCTGCTTTAAAAAGTGTACATCATTGTTTTCATTTGATTTATAGTAAAACCCAAACCAGGTTCACTTAGGTAAAATGAAAACTATTTAAAATGATTTGTCCTATATCTTAGTTGAAATGGTACAATACAGAAACTAACAGATGGGTTCAAACCAGTGGTCCATTGAGTCTCCGGTATGTCATCTGACGGTGGCCAGTAGCAGTTGCTTCAGAGGAAGGTTCAAGAAACCCCGTCGAGGGCAGTTATGGAATAACTGACCCACATGGGAAATTTCTTCCAATCTCCTGTTAGAGGTTGGCTTGTGCTCTGAAGTATGAATGTTTAGATCCCTTTCAACATAAGTGAGTAACCAGAGGTCAGAACTTCTCTCAGAGGCCATGGAAATAATGTCAGATGTAGAGAAGAATCTGCTGCTTTACAAGACAGTTTGCATAAAGGGAAGAGGAAAGAGCTGAAGTCATCCTTCTAGTTCTTCACTAGCCAGAAGTCCTGGGAATTTTTGGACATGATTGATTGATAGCTAAGGAATCTCCACTCTACCTGCAGAAAAAACAGATCTCTCAAAGCATGGGCCCCTGTTTCATCTTTACCTGAGCTGCCTACAATTTGACAGCCTGGGTGTCAAAAGAAAAGTGTAGTTCAGCAGAGATTATCCATTAGCCCAGTGATTCTCAAACTTTCGTACTGTTGACCCCTTTCACATAGCCAGCCTCTGAGTGCGACCCCCCTCCTTATAAATTAAAAACACTTTTTTAGCCTCACTGGTACATTTTGGTATCCAGACAGAATTCAGTCAGGAAATTTCATTCATTGTTCTGGTAAAGTTTCACTTATGGTGCAAAGGAAACAATACCTTACTTGCCAGGGTCTGTACTTCAAAATTAGACCGTGTTTAAACATGTCTTTTCACTCTGGCCCTAAAGTTAACCATAACTGACTGATGTGATATTAAACATAACAGGGCAGTGTCTACACTGCATGTTGTAACATCATGTTAATGAACACATTAATTAATACCTTGTGAAACTTCCCAATGTAGATGTGCCCCTATTGTCTTTAAACTGCTTCTACTACCTCATTATGTCACACTCATATGTGAGAGCATATCAGTTCTGATGTATGCAGAGTTTCCATCTAAATTATTAAGCGATTCTTCTTATGACAGCACTATTCTTGCTAATAATTTAGATAGGCGTGTGAACAATTCCACATGCCATTGCAAAAAAATTCTGGTAATGACTGTATGAAGTTTTGTTTGTAACACACATAGGTTGGGTGTTTACTGCCAAGCAGAAGGGGCAAAGTTTTTAAACCTGTCCATCTAGCTTAATTTTTTCTTATCAATTCCCTCTGCATTTTCTAGCCTGCAGTCTTTTTCTATTTCCATTTGTGGCGAATGACGGACTGTAGTTCTGTGCTCTCGCTTCAGAAATAAACACATGAAAAAGCAATCACGTAGCACAGTGTGGAGCCCGTATTGTGGCAAGCAGGCACTGAGTTACAGTGCTCACTCCATGCCCAGCTAATGTGCTTGATATTTACGTTATCCTGAAGTGTGTTTTATAAGGCTGCCAGATATCCACTATCCATTTATTTTGGCATTCCAATGCACATAGGGTGGACAAACCTGCCTGGACCACATGATTTTCGGCTGGGTTTTGTCATTTGGTTATTTTGAATATTCTATTTAGATTATTATTTCTCTATCAAGGAAATCTACACACATGTAGCTTTCCAATAAACATGACTTTAATGTTTCTCTGTTGGAATTAGAAGCTGCTATAATTCAATTGTATATTACTAAGTGAATCTACTATACAAATGCATGTTATAACTTTTGTCTGTTTTTTTAGTTGCACTGAACTTTTAATGACAGGTGAGATGCCATTAGTGAGAGTATAATGCTTATACAGAAGAATGAAGTTTCCTATTAGCAACTACAAACAATTTTTTATTTTATAGATGGACAATCTGAAGTCTACAATTCAACTGAAGAAGCAAAATGGATTTGCTCACAGTAAAATGAAGACGTGGATGAAATCCTGTAAGCAGCTAGAGAAGGAAAAAAAAATGTTGCAGAAACAAATTGCTGAACATGGTGCTCTATTAAAGGAGCAAAAGCCAAGGATGGGGTAGTTTAAGAAGGAAATGCTATACTAGAGGCGGGAGGGATAGCTCAGTGTTTTGAGCATTGGCCTGCTGAACCCAGGGTTGTGAGTTTAATCCTTGAGGGGGCCATTTAGGGATCTAGGGGCAAAAATCTGTTTGGGGATTGGTCCTGCTGTGAGTAGGGGGTTGGACTAGATGACTTCCTGAGGTCCCTTCCAACCTTGATATTCTAACTAGAATGTCATAAGGCTGCAAATCATTCATGGAAGTCACAGTTTCCATGACCTCTGTGAATTTTGCAGTGCTGGTGCAGCTGATCCCAGGACCACCCCAGCAGCTAGGGAAGCCCAGGAGCCAGCTGCAGTGGCCATTGCTCTGGCAGCACCAGGCAGCTGGTCCCTGGAGCAGCAGTCTGGAACTAGTGGTGGTGGGGCCCTGAGCCACCCTCCACCTCCCCAGCAGCAGCGTCACCCTGCTCCCTCTCCACTCCCCAGCAGTCTTCAGGAGTGCCCCCCTCCCAGTAGGTAAGATTTAGTCACAGGTATTTTTCGTAAAAGCCATAGACAGGTCACGGGCAATAAACAAAGTGTCACAGCCCCATGACCTGTCTATGACTTTTACTGAAAATACCCATCACTAAAACATAGCCTTAATCATGATCCTGTTTCTAACCTTAATGCATTTATTTATAAAACATGTTTTCAAAACATCCTTTATTACATTTGATTCAGATGAGGGGCCAGATCCTTAGCTGGTATAAATCAGTTTACTTTCTGAAGCTCTGCTATTCACACCAGCTGAGAATTTGGCCCAAGATCTATCTGTCTCAAATTTAAGAGTCTCCTTATATGTTATGAATATAGATTTCCAACACCTATGTTTTAAAATAAAAAATGACCTTAGGATGAAGGGGAGGCTATTTTTTAAAGAACATTAGAATGCTGTGTATAACTTCTTACAATGCTTTGTTTGAGACATGAGAGTGTAAAATGTTGGAGTGTGTCTGTTCTTTCCGTTGCTGACCATCACAACAAAGAAAATTCACATTTTGGGTATAGATGGCTGATAGTTCAGCATCCACCATGGAGAAATTGACATCTTTTAGAGTTTATACATATGTCCTTCCGAACAGCTTTTGGTGTCCTCCTGGATTGTAGACAGGGAGAGAGGAGCAGCTCTTAAAGTGTTATGCTTCAAACTGTACCTCCATTTTCTAAATATCATCCGCCTGGTACTAGTAGCAGCTTTCTGGGACCAGGAAGTACTGGGGTTTATTAACTTTAACAAATGTTTTTTAAGACACACACTTTGGGGTTTTATTGATCACAAGCTTCAGTCATTTCAAGAGTTGTCAGGGGCTAAGTATAGAGCTAATAGGACAACAGTTTAAAGTGGTCACCACAGTGTGTAAAATATACTACAATTTGTCTGCCATTAGCTAGGGTAAGTTAGGCTAGCAAATATTCATGAGAGTCCAATAAGCAGAATCACTAGTGGTATAAAAAGGGATCCATATTTCTGAGATGAGCCATATTCAATTATATAAAGAAAAATTGTTAAAATAATGGTAAGGTGGTAATGTTAAGCACTTAAAAATTAGGAAATGCCAGAATTAATGTTGCCCATGCATTGTGTGTCAGGGGCAGATTCCAAAGAATCGGGGTACCTGGCACCCTGACAGTAAATATGGTATCAACGGAGATCTCTTCTGTAAAGTAACCTTTACGTGTTGTCTGTTTTATTTGGTATAGTTTACTGTGGTTGCACAAGCACACATCTTATGTACTTAATTAAGAAATGAATGATGGAGATCATTGCATTCTAAACTCATCTTTCCAGAGTCTCCTTAAAGTTATTTGTACAGGTAATGACTCTTTCCTTTGGTCAGGTGCAGATGAAGTTGCCATCCACCTACATTCACTGATCCATGAGGATGAGCCAGAGTATGAGCCAGGCGGACTCCCAGAGGTGGTCAAAAAAGGTAATTGTTACTTTTTTAGAGGAGAACTGTCCACATTGGGGGGTGGAGTGTGTGCGCGCACGCTCATCTAAATAGTCGTGTTGTCCTACGTGTGACTTGGAAGCATTGTAAAAACTTGTACATCATTGGCCAAATTCAGCCTTCGTATAGGTTGCATAAGTCCATTTAACCCAACTGCTTGTCAGAGCTGAGTTTAGCCCCATGTGCTTAAAAAAAGCCCTAGTATACAATTGAGGCTATAGGGGACTAGTATAGTTTGTTGTAGACATATGTAATTTCTAGTGGTTTTGTTTTTTGGTCTGTGCGATGTCTTCCCATCTGTACAGTTTTGTAGTATTTGATGACAAAAGCAAAACAGCCAAAAATTCTGAAATCCAGAATCCTAATATCAGGTTGTAGTTTTGAAAATCAGTCTAGATAAATGTTGTTTACTTTGGGACTCCTCCAAAAACTTTGCAAAAGACCTCTGGCAAAAAGAGAGGGATTCTAGGCCCAGCCATTCCCAGTATAAAACACCTTTTTTTTCTGGTTGAGAGGAAGGGGGGAAGTTTTTGCTTAAACATTTTTAACTAAATGTTTTGTCATTGAAATGTGCTGCATTGTCAAAGCCGAAATGTTTCTCTGAGATGTATTGATTCAGACAAAGTTTTTGCTGGGAAGGTTTCTGAGGTGCAAAGTGGACTCTTGCAGGGAGGAAGGCCCCGAAATTGAAAACCTGATGTTTTTGATTCAATTTCATTTTGTGAAAGCATTTGAAAGGCTTAAGTTCTCATTCGAATCTAGAATAAAAACGAATTTTGAAACCTCGAAAGGTGTTGCAAAACAGAATTGTCGCCCTCTGGCCAGCCCTACTTAGAACAATAGAAGAGTCATCATTTTCAGATGGAAATGATTTTCCAGTTAATGGTGTCCCTTTAAAGGAAAAAGAGAACATTTTCTTGGGGAAAACTCTTTTTGCCATTTTAGTAGAGTTGCTGTTGCACAGATCCACACCCTTGTCTGAGTTCACCTATAAAATTCTAGGAACGCAAGATAGTCCTAATAATTCCCCCATTATATTTTATTCCGTGAGTAAATGCCATTTTACTTTCTTAAATTATTACCAGTTGTCATCTCCATCTTGAAATGAGCAAGATCAGATTGATTAGAACAATAAAGTAATTTAAGCAACCTTGGTTAATAGAAGCTGTTTATTTTTTAGGGTTTCCTGCTATTCCTATTGTGAAAACCGACCCTTACATTTTGTGCAGAACAACTTTTCACCTAAGGACCAGTCCCCGTCTTGCTGCCCAAAGCCAAAAATTGTCACCAGGTTCCCAACTTTTACGAAAAGGCAGGTCAGATAATCTAGGGGTGATCTGAAAACCGACAGCTGGTGGCAGCAAATCACAAAAGGTAACTGATCTTAAAAATGTATCTGAATGTGCAGGGCATGGGCAATCCACATCATGTATTTATCTCTCCAAGTGAGTTTGAAGATATGC